AACACTTCTCTCTCAAGGAAAACCTAGATGAAGTTTTCTCAACACTGGCAATCCCGACTCCATTTTAAGGGAGGAACCAGAAGACACAGATTCAAGTCCTTAAAGGAGCGTTTGAAGAGCCCGTCCTTTTGTGGGCAACCTGATTACCAGACCCCTTTCTCCGTTTGGTATGAAAGCAAGGGGCTGTCTTGAGGTGTTGACCAAATTCACAGGGGCCTCCGCAGACCTCTAGGGTTTTATAGCCGTGAGCCGGATGCTGTGGCACAGGGAGACTCCCACTGTCTTGGGGTCCTCACGGCCTCTGACCCTTTGTTCAGGTCCACGCATCACAGTCAACATGTCTCAGTCAGATGCCTCCCTTCCTAAGATGCTGCCCTTTTGCTCCCTGGTCCTCACAGAGCTGTGCTTTGTTGTCTCAACCTCAGCACATCTACGCTTCTCCCCTTCGTCAGCAATGAAGTCCCTCGTGACTGCGTCACACGGAGTGACCATCTCTTGACTCCTGATCACCTACGCGAAGCCCCTCTAAGCAGCCTTTTCACAGTGGCTCTCAGGCAGGAGGACTGAGGCTTCCATCTTGTAAGCTGGGAACTTCATGTCTGAGCCCAACAGGGAGAAGCAAGGCCTCCTCTTCTTTCCTGGTAAGGACTCAGCCAATGAAAACCCATGGACTCCTGTTCACAGGAGCCCTCTCACCTCCCCTTTCATTCTGTAAAAGAGTCATGTCTCTGTTTTCACTGGGGACTTGCATGTGGCTCACCAGGACGGCAGACCCCAAACTGTAATTCTGTGTTGTTCCCAAATAAACCCAGTTTTGCCTTTGAAGTAAGTGGTCATTTATTTATGTTAACAATCTTTACTTCCCGTAACACTTTTTATTTTATTTATTTTATTTACTTTTTATATCTTGCAATTTTCTGAGCAGGTCACTGGGATGCACATGTGTTCCTACCTTCACAGACATTCCTACCAGCAACCCTGTGTGGGAGACAGCAAGGGGCCGTGTCTAGCTTGCAGGAGGTGAGGGGATTTGCAGACTAGCTGTGAGCCCCTGGGGGAGGGTGTGTGGATGCTGGTGAAGGTCTTGCTGTTTCTGTCACCATGTGTCTGTGACACAAATGGCATGTTTGGATATATTAGCAAGAATTGAAAAATTACATTCAAAACTATTCTAGATATAAGACAAGCATGTTAAATATCAGTTAATATTGAGATTAATTATTAATGCAAAGTAGAAACCTAAAATAGCTGATATAGGTTGGATTTTAGTGAATATTATCACAACCAGGTTCAGCCTTGCCCTGTCTTGTTTGGGGACTCAGGTGAAGCAGAGACACGGCCCCTCCCCAGTGCAGGCTCTCTGTTCCACTGTCCTCTTCCCTTGCAGGTCTGTGCTCAGGACCCTCCGACCCACAACCAGCACAGGGGTGAATAGGGTGTAAGGTGCCTGTGAGTGAACTGAAGACTCAGGGTTGGTGTTTGTTCATCTTTTCATTCATTGATGATGATTCACATAGAGAAATTTACCTTCTGCATGTCTACATTTTTATGAAGTTGATGAGATACAAAGCTTTCTCTCAGAGTTTTTCCGCCTTACTGACATCTGAGGCTAATTTCCTTTTGTGGGAGCTGCCGTGTGCAGTGTGGGATGCACAGCCACATTGAAGGACTCTGCCCACTAGGTAACTGGGTGCCTGCAGCCCACCCCACATGTGACAGCCCAGCCTGGCTCTAGACACTTCCATGTGTCCTCTGGGGGACAGAATGACTCCAGTGTCACACAGACATCAATTCCCAAATATACAACATTCCTCGTGCTTTTCTAGGGAAAGGCACTGCAGGAAACAGGACTGGGGACACACTTGAGGATGAAATGACTGGAAATACATTGAGGGTGGAGGGCAGACTCGAGGCTCCACAGAAGTTTCATTTGTGTCATTAAGTATCTGTAAACCTGACAACTAAAAGTGTGGGTAGTGACTAAATTTCAAACGAAAGTCCCATGAAGAAATGTTTCTTCTGTGTCTGGTCCTACAACAAATGAGGAAAAGAAG